TAAACATAAACATTTTTACAATGCTCTATTATTTAATTATTAAATTTCATTTAATTTTTTTGTTGTATTGCATTCCAAGTTTTTAGTGTTTGTATACATTTACTTATTTTATTTTTAGCAATATTTTCGGCATCTTTACCACTTTTATTTTATTTATACATTTGCTTATTTAAATTTATTGTCAGAATTTTTTTTTTCAACAATAAATTTAGCGAATTTTCTTCACCATACATTCTATAAATCTTACCTTGACTCGTTAACGCTCCACACTTGGCCGAATGACTTGTTCTCCTGGGCTTCACGTTATTTTTTGTTGAAATCTTTTTAGCTACTAAACGGTGCCGTTCAAAGCGTGGTCGTTGCTACCTCAGTATACTGTGGTTGCTACCGCAGCAAATTCGAAATTACTGGCTAAATTTCGTTTTTACTTCTTTATATAATTTCCTTTTTGATTTTATTATCTCTGTGTATCTTTTGTTTAACTGCAATTATTGCAGAAATCGCTCTGTCTAGTATCGCTGTTTAGTAATTTTATTGCTTTTTGTTGTTGTATACCAACAACTCTATATAATATGKTTATTAATTATTTCGTACTATATTCAATATTTATATGTTAGCCGAAAGGCGACGAAGACGAGCGCACTGCGCGAGCGTTCACGGCGCTGAAAGTGGTTGCGCCAGTATATATGTATGTATGTATGTAACTAAGGTGCAGATTTGTCGCGATGTTTTTATATTTAACCCTGAGCGTGCTACCGCGTTTTTGTTCTTTCTCTCATATATCCTGATATGTATGCACATGTGTAACTTTTGGCGCACAATTTGCGATCTAATGTCGTCAAATTGCTTCAAAAACGATTTGGAATTTGTTCCGTAGAAGTGACAGCGCGAATCGTGCTTTGGTCTAGCATTAGTTGGCCCAGCCACATATGTATTTCTGGACAGAGATTTTTATGCGAGTCATTTGTATGTTTACGCGAAAGTGTTGAGAGCTTACTCATATCAGTCGTCAGCGTGCTTATGGAAATTTTATTAGACTCATAAGCGTTCGGTCTGTAAGAAAATTTCGTTTTTTTTTCTCTTTCTTCGAATTTATTGCACAACYATACATCTAGCAACTGTAAATTGTTTTATGTGTACATACATRYGTACATACATATGCATATAGGCATTTGACATACCGGTCTCTTCCGCTTTAAACTGCGAGTGTATTGCTGTTGCTGACACACACACTTACATGCATATATGTTGGTGTATTTATTTAGCTTTAGATAAACAAATAGKTTATGTGGCGTTTTATACAAATAACTGTAAAAAGTATATATTTGCGTTCTTATCATTGTTCATACGTGTATTCCACCCACTTCAACTTTAAAAAACGTTACTCAATTTCTTTGTGGGCTAAAAAGGGGCACGCATCCAATGCGTGCGTTCATGTGAATTTCGTTTGCCTTCATAATGAAAAATTCTATAATTATGCATACATACACATGCTATGTACATAATGCGTAGCTGTGTACGTCCGATCTGCGCACGGGACGGAGCCGCCTATTAGTGACTTTATGACGTCACTTGACACTAATACTTGAAAGTTCATAATTACTATCAATAAACTGACGCATATGACCCCGTGAGGTTAGGGCCCCAGTTTCTGTTTGATTTGATACGTCGGCGTTTTTCAAGATTCTGCATAGAATTGATTAAATTTTTTGGAAAGTTTTTTGATTGCCACAGGTTCGGCATGGATCAGCTGACTATTTGTCTTTATCAAACGAGAATTCATTCACTCTTCGAACACACAACTTTCAGTCGAAGTRCTCGCTGTTCTACCGCCTGCATACWTTGCTACAAAGACGGCGATTGTGTGTWATTTACACTGCCTTGAAAGAGTATGCAGAGACGCAGAAGTTTGCGTAAGCACGTGAGGCATGATTTGGAATTAAAATAGATGATAAAAGGCTATGCGGTAGTTTATAAATGATTTTTTATATAGAATAGTAGAAAAGAAATTTAAAGCTATAATATTTTTTAAGCCCACGGCACTCGACCCCATCAAACTAGAATAGACGTGAAATTTTTGTGTAATAATAACAGAAATCTYCACTTTTTTATTATAACCGGAGAGTCCAAGTGTAACCAGGTCCTTCAGTGCCTGGTTTTTCCAACGGAGTGGAAGTCGTTTCTCTCCCGGCTGGTACTGCTTCGAATACTCTCGCAGCTGGAGTGTTTTCATCATATTGCCTCATAATKCGCTGAACTATGTACTTATGTCAATGTCGTCGTATATCTCATACAGTTCATCGTTCCATCGACTGCGGTATGCGCCATTGCCAATGCACAAAGGACCATAAATCTTCCCCAGAATTTTTCTTTTCGCACCATGTATCAGGATGGGAATGATGATGGACTTTTAGGGTTTGGTCTTTGTTCGTTGAGAGAAGACTTTACATCACAATTGCCTACTCAGTCCGAAGTACTCTAAGTGTTGGCAACTTTCTTTAGAAGAACTTGAAAAGAATTCTTTCACATCTGCCAGGTAATTTTCGAAAAAAAAAAAATTGTACAGCATTTAAGTGTACRCATAATTTTCACGCTCACTGTCTATAAACATATTTAAAAATCATACCCGTTATTTGTCTGTATTTTTATTAGTGCCAGTTGTACATAATTTTGTTGCTATTTTGCAAATGTGATTTCACAAGTTCGTCAAAAAAATATTCATTTGGCGGCTAGCCAGGGAAGTGCGATTACTTGGCGCGGATGAATTTGCATATTTGCCGACAAAAGATTTGACAGTGAGTTTATGTACTCTGCTGAATGTACATGACTGGCGTCTATGTACTGTAAATAGCTGATTTCAACTACTTATTGATGAATATTTTTAGTAGTTAGTTTAGCAGCTTGTAGTGGAGGCGAAGCKGATATTTATATGCATTACTCACTAACCCATTCAGCTTCGCCAGACGACCACTGGCTGTTTGTTCGGAGCTGGCAGTGGGGAAGAAGATCAGAAAACGTTTTGTTATATAGAAATTATTCAGCTCACGCCAAGTCACGTTTTTACAATGTAACATTTTTAATACGACAAGTTTTTCCCCGACTTAGTCACTCCACAACGGAGCAAGTTTTTCGCCTGAATTTTTTTGAATCTAATGAAATTATTGTTACATCTTTCACAACGTAACATACACTACGAAGCATATAGTATATATAAAGTATATAGTGGTGTTACGAACTGTCACATTTAAGAGACTGCAAATGCTTTCGACAGGAGATCTGCATTTTTACAAAAGAACATTAACTAGACATTATTTATAATGGGCCGGCATTTTAAACTGTCCAAGTGAGATCCCTGACAGGATCGACTATTAAATATGGCTATCTTAGGCAGATTAGTCTCCATGTGCTGCTTAAAGGAATCAGCACGATTTCACTAAAGAGAAGTAGGGAAAATAAGCGAATATTGGARAAAAGTAAATTTGATAAGCCAAGAAAATGCGAAATCAAAAATTTCTATTGAAAGGAATGAAACTGCTTTTAAAATTTTTCGCGTAGAACGATGAGTTCGTTCAAATAATTTTTGTATACCTACCYATATTTACATACATATATAGAAAGTTAAATATATGTCTACATTTATCTCTTCAAAATATTATAGTATAATATATACAGGATTAAGAATTCCTTGCCCAATTTTGTTTCGCTAAATCTTGCACAGAGTGTATATATCTAAGTATGTACATATATTAAGCTTACAAACATACATGCATATATCTGTCTCTTATACACATCTAGATGTGTATAAGAGACAGATTTTGTTTCGCTAAATCTTGCACAGAGTGTATATATCTAAGTATGTACATATATTAAGCTTACAAACATACATGCATATATCSCGCCAGAATTTGGTTACTACTTGGTAATCACACAATGTATATTTGCAAAGGGTGATCCATTTCGAGATTCCCTACTTTTTTAAATACACAGAAATTTCAAATTTAATGAGAAATATTTCATATCATTCGAAAGAATATTGAATCGAAGCGGGATTGACGGAGAGACTTACGACTTCACATATCCCCGCAGGAAAAWGTCTAACRGTGTCATATCATACGATCTTGAAGAACAATTGGCCAGACAAAAATTCGAAATTATTTTCTCACCGAAGTATGCTCTCAATAAACACATTGATTTATGTGATGTGTGGGAAGTGGTGCCGTCTTGTTGAAATCAAATATTGGCGAGATCACAATCTTCAATTTCAGCCATCAAAGAATCAGTTAGCATGATAACGGTCACCATTGACAGTTTTCATATGCATATTTTTTAAAGAAATATGGACCGATGCTTTCACTGGACCACAAACCACACTAAACCTCTGCTTTTCTGGATGAAATGACAGTCCTTGAGTCTCTTCAGGTTTCTCTTCGTCCCAAATGCGGCAATTTGGCTTGTTTACAAGCCAGAAATGCGCCTCATCGCTGAACAAAATKTGGCACGAAAACGTCGGATCTTTTCGAAACTTTTAGAAGAGCGAAGCGATGATGCTTGAGAAGATCGGGCGCCTTCAGTTTTGCACGAGCTATATTTTRTACGCTTTTAATATAATATAAGATCTCGACGTAAACTGCGCCATATGCCAGTCCGAGTTGCTGCGAACGACGCCGAATCGACTCTCAGCACATCTTCGTGTTCACTCTCAGCTGCTATATTTTCTTCACTGCTTGTCACTGGTCTATTCGGTCGAATATTATCTAATTATGATTGTTGGGTCTCAAGATGGGTGATGGTGTTACGTATGGTACGCTCAGTAGTCCGATTATGTAAACCATAAGTAAGAACGTGAGTTTTTTAAAAAGTTGACCGCCAAAATGCCAAAAAAAAGGCTATTGAAAAAAGTACCTCTACTTCGATCACCCATTATTTACGTTTAGATTAAATATTGCTATTGTTGTATAARTAATATGACACATACTTACAACAAAAACACGCATTAAAGCAACAGATTCTTGTTTCTGTTGTGTCTACSAACATAAATTTCGAAAAATTCCCCGTTTTTATTAGGCTAGGTATTAGGTCTTAATTTTTATGTCATCGTTCTAAAATAAAGAGGAATTTTTTGCTAAAACATGCATACATTTCGTGTTGTCGGGACAGTAGGACGCGTTTATGGTTCATAGTSTCATCGAATAAATATTATATTAATAATAATACTAAAGCATAAATATGAACCMCAATCACAAGAAATAGTATACTTCTCTTCTCTTAAGCTATTCCAAATTGAGCGACCGATACGAAAGGCCGAGTGATTATGATGAAAAACTCGTGTCGGAAATACTTTATCTTCCRGTGGAATACTACTTTCCAAATAAAAATATTTTTTACGATTTATAATTATACTCGTAGCACAGGCAGGCAAAAATTAATGACTCTTCAAGTATCAAGTATCTACAGTCGCCGCCTAMAATCCGCCCCTTGACTTACCAAATACTTTGGTTCAAACATACGTCTTTAACTGTCATTAATTAATGGCATAATGATTGCACCGTTCGTAATCTTATCACTTCCTAAATCTTTCGCAAAATGCTTCATTCAAATCACGTTTCTAAAACATGTACCAAGGTGGATATAACACTTAATTCCCACTTGGGTACGTACGAGATAGTATGACATAATGCTAAACTTAAATGTCAAACACATTCAATAATATCTAAGTATTTTGCTTGATAGCTGATTTGATAGATATCCCTTTAGGAAATCGTCTATCTTAAAAGAACACTGCATATTTGAGTAAAGCTCTGTGTTATCTTGAATACTTTGAATTGAATAATATGGATTACTGTGTCTCGCATTTTTGAAAGAACACATTCGGCTTATGTTTCTCGAAAATTGTATTTTGGTGTACTCTAGTTAAAACACAGTGCTGATAACTATTGAACAATTAAGCGTGTCTAAAAAGCCTCTATAATATATGCAACGATCACTGACTTCCTACTTCATGGCTGAAGTAATAAGGCCACTCCGCCAAGTATCCATTTGGCKGGTCGTTCGCGGGTCTTTAAATTAAATGTCCACACATAGGTGCTGCCACGTAATCTGTAATTATTAAAAACTTTTAAAATTACTAAAATAATTAGTTAAAACTTTTATTCAAAAAATAATTTTTTTTCAAAATCTATCACATTTCCATACCTAAAATATAATATAACTAAGTCGCACACCCAATATATGCAATGCCGCCAAACGACTATGTTTTCATCAAATACTTAAACCCTTTACATATTAATCTATACAATATTAATCTCTTGGCATTGTCAGTATTCTCTACTATACTTATGTGATTATGATTAAAACCTCAAAATATACATATGTTGATGTGTCTTACCTTGTCTTGTATAGCGGGCACTCATAACAACGCTGCGATTCTTGTTTCTCCTGCACAATAGATTTTATATAAATGACAGGCATGGCACATAGCAGCTCCTTCGACGGCAATGGCACAATAGAATTAAGCTGACAATCCCAACTGGCGCCATCCAGGTAGAGCGCATGCACGAGTGCACCTTCAACTGGGGGYAATCTGTGCAGAATATGATGAAAATGCGTATAAAAGCGACAAAATTGTTSGCTCGTGAATGAAATCAGAGAACTAAATGGCTCTTTACAAAGTTATTTTTTTATTACAAATAGAGAAGACCTCTATTMCTTTTAAATTACAAGTAATATTATAGCTGTGTGGCTTATATCTTGTCTACTACATATTCGGTAAGAAGCATAAGTAGACAAGAGATTTAGTTTTTAACTTAAGRTAGAATTAAGCCAGTCAAATTTTAGACCAATAACAGGAATGGAACTATTTATCACAATTTTTTATCTTTTAATTGAATTCTCTCTCACAAACTACACTTACGATATGTCGTCCTTCTCCTTCTTCGTCACCTCACAATTGAGACACATTCGGTCCAAAGGCAAATCATGCTTGCGTGCACTTTCTTGCATTATGGCTGTGAGAAAGCTTTGTGGATTGAATAAACCACCGATCCAAATKGTGCAGGGTAGCTTAAAATCATTAAGCCAACTCGACAATTCTTTTATGCGATGTAGGAGATCAGCATACCAACTTTGCAGGCCTAACATACTGGGGTAAGCTAATTGTGCCCAAGCTGACGGTACGGTATCGTAGAAAATCGCGTGGTCTAGTCGTTCCATGTCAGGCGTTATGGTAAGTTCGCCCTTCAAGCCCAACAGCAGCTCGCGTAAAGATCGCTTTATTTCGAATATTAAAGCGTTCATGCGTTCGCACTCTTGCAACGCGACCACGACGAATGGCGTCTTACGATCTACGCGATTCAGTAAAGCCTGCAAATTGAATTCATCTTGCATTTTATCCAGAAAGTCCTCACTCATGATCTTGACAAGCTCTTCACGTGGAGCGCTACAATTCGTACTAAGCTCAGATTCACGTGGTTGCAATTCAAATATTGTCTTGAGAAGTTGCTCGGATGCACTTGTTAGGAAACCGATTTCGGCATTTGCATGCAATCCGTAAAGAACGGGAGACTCTGCTGGTAATACTTCATCGATGTAACTGTGATAGCCTTGATAGTCGAGATTGGGTGGTGCATGAAAACCTGGACATAATTCAAAATCGCCATCGATCAATTCTTGTTGTAGTAACTCTTCGAGATATGTGCGACAGAGACGACGATCCCAGTCATCAGTAATATGACCGCCGTACATAATTTCGCCAAAAAGATAACGTAGATCCTCCCACGGTATGCGGCAACTGCCCTCYAAATAATTATGCAAGACATTGGCGGATATCATAAGATCGCTAGTATTGAAGGGATAAGATTTATTCCAGCCCTGTGGTCCGAATTTACAACGCTCACCCGAAACGGCATGAAAGTAGCAAAGCGCAAAGAGTATAGCTTTGAATTCGGCTTCTTGTGTGCAAGTTTCTAAAGTCTCCTGTGAAAAGTTATCCCAAGCTTTGTGCAGATTGGCTGCCATTCCCGACGGTGGTTCATTCACTATTTTCAGCGACGACTCAAGTATACCCTGTGGAATGACATGGTATTCGGGATCTGGCGCTGGCTCGGCACTGATGAACAAACGAAAACTAGATTCATCGCTGTCATCATTTGTCTCGCTCTCTGTAGCAATACGTTCGATTAATTTTTCCAGAGAAGGTAGCCAGTTGACGACTAAGTGTATATTTTGCAAAACGATCCAGTGTTTTTTGCTCGTCAGAGCATTGGTTATGGCGGCTTCCGCTAATTGTTCCTGCCCTTGTCCCAAGGATATGTTAATTAGCGTATCCTGGTCGGCACGAAAGCCTAGTTGTTGGCCCAGAAGCTCCACATCGCGTATGGRATTCACGCCAGGTGAAAGTATAAATAAGACCGGTGTGTGGGCATTGATTTCTTTGTAGATCTCGGTAAGCGTTGATGTCGGTGTTTTAGTGTAATCCTTGCCCATCGTSAGCTCCACAAATAACCTGTAGAGAAAACTTTTTAACATCTCGTGTAAAGATATAATGTCAGAAGGTTAATATTTGTATATTTACCTCATTGCGTACARCATCCTGTCGGGACGCAGAGCTCGTATAATACAAAGCTTCTGCAAAGGCGAACGATACTTCCATTCGCCAGGAAATTGTTCTCTTTCCGGCGCCGCACTGGCAAGAAATTTATTCCAACGCTTTGGATAACTCTCCAGGTCCTTGTCAATACCGTAGAAATGTTCAATTCCMCCTAATGATTTTATGCCGCCCCAAGCTTTGCGGCTAACAAAGTCCAAAGGGGACAGTGAGTTTGGGTCATGTGGAAAGCGCAACAGGAAATCAAACTCATCTTTGGAAATTTGTCCGGCCGCACTTTGAATACGCAATATCATATGCGAGGTGAATGTCAATTTATCGGCTTCGAAGAGACCCCGCATYGTAAAGACGAACGTCTGCAGCGTGATAGCGCCGACCARGTTCTGAACTCGTCGCTCGTGATTTTTACTCTTTGGTGCCGTGGATATGGCTTTCTTAAAAACATTCATAAATGATTTTAGCGAAAATTTATAAATTGGATTAATGCGACTCAGATCGGTCAGCACGAAGTAAAGTATAGCGGCACGTTTCGCCGCTGCACGATACATATTACGCGCTTCGTCAATTTGCGCACTCGTTATGAGCGCCTCGCGCACCTTCAGTTCAATCTCGTCCACAGTGTGCTTGGTCGCCTCCAAGTTGATCACGAGCGCATGATCATCCAATACATTCGTGCTGGCTGTAGCTAAACGTACCAGGAGTTCATCTTCTAAGGCTTTCAGTGAAATTTTGAACTTATTCTGCTGTACCGTTACGTCGATCTTCATTTGCTCCAAATCGGGTCGTTCGATTTTCACAACCTCAGCGAGCAACTGCTCTTCCAGTCCATCTGGCGTGACGGTAAAGTTGATGAGTGTGGTTTGTGCTTGGATTTCGGGCTTGTAATGTGGATTCGGTAGTTTTGTGTGCAGCAGCAAACGAAAGTTTACGTTAAAATCCATCTCTTTGCCGCCGAYGCGTATGTAGCGTCCCTTCTTAATTAAAGCTCGACTAAGTAATGGCTCCAACACTGTATCGATTGTTTCGCCAATTTGCTCGATCAAGACAGTATCGCCGTTGTTCATCGATTTTTCCAACACATCTAAGAAGCCCTTTTGATTCAAACGTATTATGACCAGAGCGTCTCCGTAGCGATTTTTTATCCATTTGATGCCTTGACTGTGAATATATACAATATGGAACTCTGGAGTTTGTTTACATACATATATTAATGTTTCAGAAAAAAGTTGTAWTGTATTCGAGTTTGGCAATCTGCATAGGTATTTGGAATTGGTTTATAATGGGGGATCCAAGGAGAGGCACTTTTTCTAACAGACTATTTCGACAGATCTCGTGTCAAGCTGTCATAATATTTTCTTTCAGTATTGCTTGRCATTTCATAATGGAAAGACTTACGGCTGAGGACGTTTACGTTTCGAGCGCTTCGCTCAACTTATGGTCAACATAATCAGCCTACTGAACGTACTATAGTGAGGAAAATATAGCAGCCGTAGCTGAGCGTGTACAYGAAGACCGCGGCGAGTCCATTTAGTGCCGATCGCAGCAACTCGGACTGACGTATGGAACGTCAAGATCTTAAACTGMAAACGTACAAAATAGAGCTTGYGCAAAAACCGAAGCTGATCGACATTCCTAAGCTACATCGCTTCACTCTATGGCCTCTTGAAGAATTCTAAGAAGATCCGATGTTTTCAAGCCAAATTTACCGAGTTCATGTGATATCACATTGTTAGACTTTTTCCTGTAGGGATATATCAATCCCGCTTCGATTCAGGCCTTGGAACAAAACATCACGCTTGTCATTCGAAAGTAACCTGTCGAAATGCTCGAATGAGTAATCGAAGATTGGATTCAACGGAAGGACCATTTGAGACATAGCTGAGATCAACATTTGAACGAAATAATCTTCAAAAAATAAATGCCAAATAGTGTTCTTGCGAATTATAATAACATTTTTTATTAAATTTGAAGTTTCAGATTTTTTCTCTAAAAAGTAGGGAGCCTCGAAATGGATCACCCTTTACTAATACTCACAGCTGCGGATCTATCATAAGTGGCCAGCGCGTGGAATGTGTTAAAATTGTTGCATTCTCCGTCGACATACGATCCACCGGAAGTCCCTCATTGTTCCAAGTCGCGACCTGTGCATCGTCCGTGAGCAGTGTCAGCGGATCCACACCAATTGTGTACGGCACCRTGGACTATTAGRAARTAATAAAGATAAAAMAGGAGCAAAAATCAGCACGTTCCACAATTAACAGTCTTCATATAAGCGCAGATTTTTTCAATATACACATTCTTACCTCAATTTTAGCAAAAGTCGTCATCCACATCTTCTGCTGAAGCTCCTCGCGATAGCGTCGCGTAAAGCAGCCAACATATGACAAGAAGGAGGAAATTAGCAAGATATCTCCAGGTAGTGTACCGATTTTCGCTTGTAAGCTGCTTATTGACGAYGACAAAAAGCGGYAGCGTCAACGTYARCGATCGCCAGGCGCCCGTAGAGCAAGCAAGGAAAAAGGATGAAATCATCATATATATTATGCATGTGTATGTGTATATGCCAGTATAAAAGTCAAGAAAAGTGTCGTCCACGAAGACGGAAGTCAAAGTTAATGCGCTTAAGCAAAGGGAAATTGAAAAAATAATGACCTGCACCTTAAGCAAATGGCTCTTGGCTCACGGCTCACGGCTCCCGGCTGATGGCTGATGGACGATGGCTGATGGCTGCTCGTGAGCGCCGTCACCGGATACATTGTTGCRAGTTTGCATGAATGCATTTTCTCTATGTACTATTTTTCGTGTAATCTACGCACACACACACAAGCACATATACGCTTCGAAGCAGCGCTTTTATTGCCATTGAAGAGATATTTCATGTATGCTTTTGATTTATGAATTTTATTAAAGCAAAGCTTTGATTATAAATTATTTGAAGTTTTTTGTGTTGTTATTAATGTTTATTGACTTAACTTCTAATTCAAACGTTGTCGTGTGCATCCAAGTCATCTGAGCACGCACACACACATAAATAATCATAGAGGAAATCTGCTTCAGTCTAAGCCATTTTGACGCCAAAGTTATGCTCAGCTCGACAACATGTGCAGACGAGCAAAGAAACTGTTGAGCACTTGACTGAGCACAGCAAATAAGGAATATCAAATTTAATCAAAATTGTTTCGAATAAACATGTTTTCTAATATTCTKAAGATGCTCGATTTGGTTTAATTAAAATTTCGYMAGTTATTTCATTAAACAGCAACTTGAAGCTTTCGTCACTTCAGTTAACTCTGCTTAGATAACGGCTGCTTTGGATGAGCATTAGAAGTAATGCTTTTGACAATATCATATAGATTTGTAGGGAGATATATTTCTCAGACTTTAATAAGTCAGATAAACTTATAGGTAGAATAATATCACTAAAATTCTAGCATTTCGCAGTATCCTAAAAGTATACAACTTGTTTTTGGAAATAATATACTGACACTACAGTAAAGTTGTCGGCTGTCCACTTGTTTACCTTTGCACTGACTCCTTCCAACGTAYATTCTCATTAGCAAGACCGTTGATGAGGCGATGTGCCAGGTCTATAGTGAATGCGGTTTTGTCCGCCTCACGCTGACACATCTGCTTCGCTGMTACCGCTTCCTCGAACTCTGCCTGTATCTCAGCGAGCTTCATTTCCAATTCCTGGATTTTGAACTTTAAGTATTGCAGGCGTTCGCGTGCCTCCTGTAATTCCTTTTGCGAATCTTGCAAAGCTTGTTGCTTGGGACCGACAATGAGAAATACTTGATGGTAACGATGCAGATTGATAACCCAGGCGCAGAGACCAGCTGCAGCTACTGATTTTTGCACTACCTTCTCGGGACTGAATTCGGGATCCTACATAAGCAGCACAATTATAGATGTATAATTGAAATGCCAAACTCCCGCMCTTACCTTCAAGTACTCTTGCAGYACTTCAATAATATTTGGATGTATATTGTCCTTATTATAGTTCACCAAGTCGTATAGAAATTGGTCGACGCGTACCATCATTAGTTTGGACGCCTTCCAGCTGCGATCACGTGGTATTTTACCATTTTTAGCGAGTAAAACCATTACAGCGGCGCACACATTTACCACAGCCTTCGGTGGTGAGCCGAACGACTTTAGCTCGGTGAGATTATTCTTATTTAAAGTATTTAGCGCGGCCTGCGCAGCTACAAGTGCTGGCTCCGCCTTGCGTAGATCCTCCTCACACAATTTGGTTTTCATGCAAACATCTTCTTCAATGATTCTGACGCGTTGTTCCTCCTSCGAGGCTGTCGACTTCTCGCGCTTCACCTTCTCACTCTCGGCGCTGACAATGACGATCAGTTTATCGGCAGCGGCATTCTTTGCTGCTAGTTGAACCTCCTGAATGGCCAGTTGGTTCTATCATGATAAGATAATGTTGTTTAAGTGGTTAAAAAATCCCAAAAAAAAAAAAATATATATATCTAAGTAGCGTACATATAATAAAAATGTTTCTCCTCAGAGGTATTAAACATAAGTCGTAGAGAATCTATTAAAACTGCCATTTCATTCAGAAARGAAAAACGATTTGGTGTGGTTTGTGRCACAGGGGAATCATCGATCCATATTTCCTCAAAAATARTGCCGGTGAAAATGTAAAYRTTATCRTGTCATGTAACCGACTGACCGATGACTGAAATTGAAGTTCGTGATCTCGGCGACATTTAGTTCCCACAAGACGGCGCCACTTTCTACACTTCGCATCAGACAATGAATTTATTGAGAGCACACTACGTTTTGCGTAATAATAATGACAAGCAGATAAAGTGGAGCTCGCTAGTTTAATAGAGATTCAGAGAGATCATGCGAGGCATTCATTCACTTTATGGTTTCATCACTTTGCCTTTGATACCGCACAAGTTACGTTTTGAAAACCATGCTCACGTGCTGCAAATTTATTTACCGTATCATGCTGCTACGGCCAATTCACTTTTCCAACTATACATTGCAACGAATTTCACACATAGAAAAATGTTGGAGAGTAACGTTACACATCGCACTTAGTCGCGTAGACAACTCAATTACGAGGAMTAATTGAAAAGCGGATGGTCGATTGTCCACTCAACTGGCTGTCCAAAGCATACAATTTCACACGCAATCGTATTTTTCTTTGTGTGCTTCGCTTTTGTGAAAGCGTGTGAGATCGTATATGAGGGTGTGTGTGTTTGTGTAAACTGTGTGAACTTTCCTACCTTCAGTGCGTCCACTTGACACGCACACTCCGCCAATTTAGACATGCCGCTCTGCAAGCGTTGAATGCGCCCGGCATGCTCGCTGTTCTTCGCCACCAACAATTTGCGATAGAGGAAAATGTATTCGAGAAAGGTTTTCGGTGTTGTGTAGTTAAAACGTTTTTCGTTTTGTAAATAAATTTTCGAAATCTGATTGACTGTGTGATGAACGTAGGCCATAAAGCAACCGATAGGCTTCACCATGTTGCGCTGCAATGTGCGACATGTCGACATTGAGGGGATGCCGAAGGAAAATCARTAAAAGTTAAGAGACAAAGTGTACAGTTAAAYGGAAAAGAAGTTATATGTGTTGTAGTATTTGAGCTCACAGGTAAAATGCGCTGCTCGATTTCACTGAGGAATTTCTGCGAGACCGACTCCAAGGCTATTTTTGGCCATTCATGAAACCAATCGATGCTGGCGCGACTAAGAATGGCCGGAAACTTACGTGCGCGTACACGTAATGTCTGACCGACTGGTGAGAAGCAGAGCACTACTTTTAAGAGCCGTCTAACTTTGTCGATGAAAAAGCGCCAGCAATTCTCTTTGGTGTCGAGTGTGCCGGTTTGTTTCACTTCATTGCGTATACCATTGACAATTGTATCCAGTTGATCCTCGTTGAAGAGCTCTGGTATCTCGCCCGAGGCTAAAAGATCATTGATGAGCATTAGCAAAGATTCTTCTGGTATTTGCGCGTCGGACATTAGAAACACCGAGGCTACATTTTTGAGACCAACTTTCATGTATAAAGCGGCGAATTCTTCTYTCAGATTTTGCAGACCAAAACCACGTTTAAGTTGTATTTGAAATACGCTTAGCGACGAAATGAACGAGGCGAGCCGTGCGAGTGTCTGTTTACCCGAGCCACCGACACCGATTAACAAGGCATTTCCACGTGGACTCTCCAGTATGCGATTAATGCTGAAAGTTTTTATAAATACAGTTACTTGGTGAGAAAAGGTCAAACTTTGAAAGACATACCGGCAAACATGTATCATAGCRTCTTCGAACATCACCAAGTTCATATAGCCTACGATCTCATTGTAGTTAGCCTGCGCTTCCATCAGCAATTGATGCAGCTTATCCCAGCTACGTAGCGGCATGTACTTCTGATCCACAAGCGATTGCGCAAAGTGGCTGTAGATAAGTGGTTCGGCAAATACGAAGTCTTCATCGAAATCCTCAAAATCCTTCTTGAAGATATCGCGTATGGTAGCTTTGAAAGCTTTGATGTCGTACTGATCGACCAGACGATCATGGTAGACGCGGTAGGCCTCGTGCACGTAAAGACGTATCAAGTCGGCGGGTTTGCTGCAGATTGTGCCGYTGTTAACCAACATTACACCGCYAGCTTGGTCAGTTGGTACACCACAGCTGTACATCAGCCCCTGATAGATGTTGGTGAGATCACGTAGATTGAATGCGTAGTGGAATTTCACCGCAGTCGGGAAAAAARCACATTCCAYGCGACGATGCAAGGCGATACCTACTTGTACCAATAATTCCGCGATRCTTTTGAGCTCCYTGCTGAACGAGTTGTAGGGGTTCTCCAAGTGACTGCGTAAAATTGTGCCGAAAATGCGTTGCAGTGTCTCCTCGCTGGGTGTGGGCATGGMAAACACTGAGAAGTGGCGTTGCAAGCGTGGATCGATTGTGAAAGAGCCAGCTGTGGGGTTCATGCAGGCGACAAACTGACAGTGACGTATATCCTTTAATTGCAGACGCTGACGATCGTACCTGTTGTGAATAGCAAAGCTGTGGCCTAAGACATAATTTTTATTAGTATTATTCTTGACACGTTTCTCACCACTGTCTGTAGTCCATGAACTGTCGTATTATCGTGTGCGGCTGCACTGTGCCATACACATCCACCTCGGGCATATTGAGATCGTTAATGAAGTAAATGAGATGTCGATTTGCACCACTCGGTGCATAGCAGCGTCCTGTCTTCTTTTCCAATGGACGTTCGAGGATTTTTTGAAATATCTCCGAAGTGGTGTAGTAGTTGAAATATGTCGTCTGCACAGCTATGTTACGAGGTCTGCTCGACATTAGCTTTGGTCGTCTTACGCCCACCGCTTGCCTTTCCATTAAGCTATCAACATCGTTCGCGCCGAGCTCATTCTCGTACAGACTGAAAAGTTCACGAAAAATTGCGCTCTTCCCACAACCAGAATTTCCCACCAACATGCAAGGGTATCTGCGTTCGATGAGCAATTTCAGAAAGTATGTCAATCGCACCGTTTCCGCCGTGTGCACGAGCAAAGACTGCGCGAGACGAAACCAAATTGTGATAACAACGAGTATGTGTGTGTGTGTTTATATGTGTGCGTACCTGTATTGGCATTTCGGTATCTATTGACTCGATTTTTCGCTCTGCCGCCAATTCCGTCCAACGACGAAATTTGTTTGTACGCACATCCAGTTGGTAATCGAAAATGGAATCTTGTGTCGGCAATTTGACATCCTTGAATTCGCTTATCCACCATTTATGGAATTCGCGTCGCCAATCGATGATGTGGTCTTGATGCAAAGCTGAGCCGAAACCCCACATTGTTGCATAGATGAATATCAATTCGATTGAGAGGTCAAGGGATCCGCTTGTGGCTTCACTGGGATTAACAAGGTTGTGTGTTGTGACGTCGATTGCTGCTTCGGCGAGTTTATCAGCCTACATTGAAATATGAAGATATTTCATRAGTGAAAGCGGAAGTCAAAATCAAACGAGATATAATTTTATTAGAAAACGTGAATGGCTTAATTTGAAATTTCGCATAAAAGACGCGTCGTTCGTCACCTCCTCCAGATCGCTTGGGAAAGAAGGTGAGTGAAGTCTCTCCAAGCATTATTACTACTTCTACTTTTTGGTTGATGAAACTCTGTTCAAAATTCAGACGTGACGTAGATGCYATACGATTTACCTGGTTAAGCAAATGTAGTAGGCTCTCGAGTAAGTGACAAGTCATTTGTATCATAGCCATTTCGCTAATKGGCGTTGAACGTYGGAATGTACGATGCCTAGTCATTAAGCTGGGGAAATACTTTTCAAACAAAGTGGTTAGAGTACCTCGCTCTATAGGGTCGTTCCGCGTTTCTATCCAAGAAAGTACATACCTAAAGCAATAATGATACAGCAACACTCAAAATATTTGGTAATATGTAGTTCTAATGTTACTTACGGTGACCAACCCATATCTTGCGGATTGATATACAAAATACCAGCACGAGAAACTGTAGCCGGTGTGGCTGCCTTAAGGTGCCCAACCTCGAAGAGTAGACGCATTTCGCKCTTCAGTGTAATCCGTTCGTTGCTTGCAAGGGTCAATATTTTATTGTCATCCATTAGAGTATTCAAACTTTCTATCCACATTGGGTCGATGTCGCCATCGAGCACAATCCACTTAGGACTCCCGGCAGGCAAATTTGTCTGTTCACGCATTATTGATGAGAAYAGTCCATCTTTCCATTCACGTGTTGTCGAGTTTACGACACCGAAGAGCTCGTCATTGGATAAGGCTTTCGGGTTAAGCACACTACAGACGGGTTTTAACTTCTGTATGCGATAGGTTTCAAGTAGCGTTTGCCAAATTTTTGTTTTTCCAGTGCCAGTGTTGCCGACTATAAAGACCGAATGTCGTACGTCCAACAAATCTTGCAATTGTACCACCTTCATCAGAAAGCCTTCCTCAGGTTGTAGCTTATTTTCATTGACGGCACGTCGTATAGTCTTTTCAAAGTCAAAGATGCGTTTGCGTGGTACATCCAACGTGGGAAAGAGATCGCCAATAAGTCCCATGAATATGGAAACGTCTTCGGTCACAATTTTCGGTATGTTAAAGTCTCGCAAGGCACGCATGAGTACCTAGACAATAGCGTAAAACTTATTGAAAAGAAGTTGTGAAAACACTTATATGGSAGACAAACCTGATCCTCTGGACGACTGTGATCGTCTCGCTTCAAGGTGCCTGCCACCACCAACACGGACTTGATGGCGCGCAAACCCCAATCATAGTGGTCTTGCTTGGATAAAAGCTCACGACATAAGGTATACAGTGTTATGAACTTACGTGCAAGTATGCGGGCATCTTGGAACCCCTCTGCCATAAGCATAATTTCACAAATGAGTGCAAAGTCMGGCACAACCATAGCACATGGACGAAAGAGCGTCTTCAAGTTTTCAGGCAATTCAGTACGYCCGGCRTAACCAGGATTGAGTGTAATGAAGATACCAACAGAAGGTACTAAAGCGATGGACTCYCCCATAAATGTGAACCGATTGCGATGCATCTGCGTAGTGAAAGTTCACAATTACTATYGGTGAGTTTAATTTAACGGAAAAAATCCATACCTTGATTGCGTCTTGTATAGTTTTCACCTGTACGGCTACAACTGACAGCACCTCCACCGCTATGCGATTGAATTCGTCAAAACACCCCCACGCTCCAGTCTGCGCTAGACCCTTGTAAATGTTGCCACATGATTTGTAGTCCATTTGTTCGGAACAGTTGAACACATACACCATCATGCCAAGTGCGCGCCCCAAATCTTTGGTGGTCTCAGTTTTGCCAGTGCCGGCTGGTCCAGCCGGTGCGCCSCCCATCACAAGGTGCAATGACTGTAAATGACACGATTTGAGTCAAATCTTTGTTCAAAGSTACTATAYGAAATATATATGTAGGATTTTCTTGGAGCTTATTGTTAATGGATAATTTAATGGGAACGTGACAGTTCYCCTTAATCCATAATCCATAATCCATTTACCTGCGTCAAAGTTATGTAACAGCGATCCGTCAACGGTGTAATTACTAAACGCGAAGTATTGCCGAGATATTCATAGGCATAGCGGAATTCCGCATCGCAGATGTTCGCAAAACAGTCCTCGTCAGCTGCTGCTGGTCGGTGCTCTGCCTCGAGCATGGCATCATCCCAGCGATGTCGTAACTGACTTTGCCATTGAAAAGCCAGCGCATTATCTATTTTAGCCTGTATAATTTTTCCGACTACATCACGCGAATGCACATCGATTGTGCAGACGGTCATTATCTTCTGACGATCGCCGGGTGTGAGTTCGCCCAACAGTAAGTTGATGAGTGAATTCAGTTGCGTCATCTGTCGTTTGTGGAGCTCTTTCATGGCGGCTTCGTAACCCTCATCCATCCAAGCAAATGCACGATTCACATCGGTTGCCCAAGCTATTTGACTGCAACACAAAGCGACCTGTGCGGGCCACTCATGCAGCCACGATTCACGTGACCGATTCACTTGTGCATGTAGGGCGCGCCGAAAGAGTTCATGTAAAGTGCTGCGCATCTGAAAGATGACACCATTCAACCATAACTCCACACGCTCAGCACATTTTACATGCGGCGCGTCTTCGTTCCTAGCTGCAAAYCGTACATATTCATCGTTYTCCTTCGAATACATTCCAATCGCATGATACGGTCCGTCTTCAGCGCCCAGTTCGTATTCCAGTCGCAGTATGGAGTCRAATAGTTTGATGAGATGTCGGTCAATTACGCGYGGACAATTACCATTTGATAGTATATCGAGTAGATCCACAGCGGATATGAAGTAGAAGCGTGGAAACACCAAACGTTTAGTCTCCAAGTAATCATTTAAAGCCTTCTCACATACTGCCAAGCGTTGCTGTAACGCAGCTAACGTCTTGAAAATATGTTGGCAGTGTAGCACGATCTTCATGGCAATGCCGATATGTATAACCTCGTTTAGAAGTTGCGTGAATTCGCTGTCAAGAATCTCAAAGTTGGCTGCGTCTGTAGGCAATTGCGCTCGTATGTCGGCAGTGCCAATGAAAATCGCCTCCAAATAAACCCATTTACGTTGCACCTCGAACCAACTGCCAATCAACGCATCAATATCATTGAGAATACGCTGCCAGTGGCTTAGCTTATCCAACAGGTACTCAATGTTCTTGGAAGTCGCGATATTCTGTAGCTGCATTTGATTATCATCGAGCGTCTCCATTAGCTCTTCAGAAACCTTAAGCAATTGCACCTCTGTGCGCCGTTGATGTTGCTCCGTTTCGAAGCTCATGCGCGTCCAAGTGATTTTGATTTCATCTAACACTTTGGTCACCGTCATTTCCTTGACTGCGCGATCGACGGTATTCTTAATTTCTTCTTCGTGCTGATGCAGCTTCAATTGAAGTAGTTGCTCGAGGGATGTACTTTCATTGCTTTTGACAGAGAGCTGAATGGGATAATATGAAATTTTCAATTCCTACGGCTTGAAATTACAAATTTATAATTCGAGATATGAGTGGGAGAGTTAGGTTAGATTCTTATATAAATCATTCTTGCTCATCAAAAGTTAAAATTTTTTCAGTGAGCTAAATAATCTCGCCAAATTAGAGAATAAAAGACAAATAAATAAAGACTTAAGGTCTATGGTGCACTCTCCTAAGCCATAATGACTCACTAAGCCCCACCATATTGATAAATTCCAACATACTGCTAGTGGCTATTGAGGCGATGTGATTTCTATTTGAAAACATGGATCCAAGGGCCTTATCCTGATCTGAAGGCTRCTGTGCTGGCAATTTCATAGTCAGATCCGGCAATTTGCACAGGAAGATAGGCTAATGTTATACGGATATAAGTGCTTCTTGAGCTCACAATGTAGGTTKCGGCAGGTAGCTTGGGTTTGTCTCTTGTGTKGTTGATGACATATTTMAACCTGCTTAAATACTTGGCATGGCGCATGCCTTTGAGTTGTTGCTAATATCTATCTCTGCCTACTTCTCCCTCTAGTACGAGGACCCATTGTAAGAAGGGTTCAGATCCAACCATGTGAGTAGATGCTGCGGGTGAGCTCATCAGCCAATTCATTGCCGGCTATACCTTCGTGACCGGGCATCCAGATAAGGTGAATGTTTTGTTAGACTGTTCACCCGTTTTCTACACTTTTGCACCAGAGATTTCCAGTGCTGCCGTACGGAATGTGCGCATGGCCGAATGGCAGATGCATACAAGTCATTGAGCAGAKACTGTCCTTGAATTCGCATATTTTTGATAGCGGATTTCAATGTTAGTTGAAAGACAACAACAATGCTCCATAACAGGTTGTCGCTCTTTTTGTGACGAGACTCATCCTAGTATCATCTACGGCGGTTTCAGCTATTTTGGTGTGTAGTACGGTCTTTATCCATCTGCAYACCGATGCTGCCATGTCATAGTAGCTTAAACAGTTTCCAGTATYTCGGGGCAGACGACATTGCTAATATTATACTTAGACGGTACTTAGATAAAAAGATTTGTCTTGAATTTTTTGTTGAGATAAAAAAACTATCAATAATTCATGAACAGCTTTGAAAAGGTCTCTAGAAATATTATCGAGATCGGAATAACTCTCAGCCAATATAGTCACTTYCTATTTATGTGTTCTTTTTCTCAATTCTTTTAAACGGGTTAGAATTTTTTTYCAAGTTCGTGAAGTTATCTTTGTCAATATTGATATTTTAACTTTTGATGAGATAATTAACATRGGATCTTAAGGGCAACTGAGTAGCTCAGAGTTAGTTTTTCGTTTTAATAGATATATTTTCATTCAGCATTTCAATTATGAAGAAATACACTATAAGTTTATATTTTCGTTCCATTTTCTGAATTYCTTTATATGTACAGAGTTTTCATTATTAAGACAAGGTTTGTTAATAACTCGCTCTCCGTAGGTAGTGAAAATTATACGTCTGGGTCATTGAAAGTACATACTAGAAAGAGAACATCTTTGAATTTTGGTCCTTATCCTAATGAGGCTAAAGAAAAACGATGTCAAGATCCCATGTCAAGACAAKGGAATAACAGCTGAGTATCAGACAGTAACTGCTATATAACAGAGCATTTAATTTTAATTATATTTTCCTGGAACAATATGAACTTATAGCTTAGTATAGGCATATCTATATCGAAGCCAACTTAAAAATTAGAGAAATTACTTGAAACAGTAAAAACTCACAAAATTTTACAGACATTAATGTTGTGTTGTGATGTGTGCTATAAACACGCATACTTATAAGTTGAAATGATTATAATAAATTTGTAATTATTGAATGTACTCGTAAKAATGCATGTACAAAAGTAAATATGCACAGACGGAGCCTCAGGTAATGAACACTGATTTGCAGCATGATTTACCAAATTAATTTAAATTTAATTATTATTTGTTGTGAAATGCCAGGTGCAAAGCAAAAAATTGCTCAGCSATTTATCAGATACAGAAATATTCTATATACTGGCCAATGTCAATATACAAGTACATATGTTGCTTGCTTCATTAATATATTACTTATACGCAGTGGAATTCAGACACAATAAGTGCAAAATACTTAGGAGATTTGGTGCTAAAGCATATTTCAACTATGAATCCATAGAATTAATGAATATTAAAGATAATCTTATAAGGGTTGTTTGATAAAATAATTGAAGATTGGCAATTGCAGATGAATTTTTATCGGAATCGTTTTCGATAAGTTTTTGAATGAATATTCTAAATGAACTCACACATATGTATGTATGAACACATCTAGCTAATGGTGGTCCAAAAATGAGGCGAAATCGAAAAAGCGACGAAAGTTGTTTAAAACTCAAAGTGACTCTAATCCGGTTTTTGATTACCCTGATGTCGTTCATCCTGAATTCATAATCGTATCGTCAAATGATCAATATGGAATATTATTTGATCGCTTTGGAGCGTCTTTGTGAAAGAGTTTTTTGTAAATGACTGTATTCGTGGGCAGAAAATTCATATATTTTYCACAACGATAGTGTGCCGTTACATTCTTGCACGATTGTGACTGACACGAAACGAGAATCGTCACTCAACCATTGTATTCGCTAGATTTTATTCCTTTCGGCTTTCATCTGTTTTCGAAACTGAATGCGGAACGCGCTATGAAGGCAATCCCAGCCGAAGCTTCTACAAAATGTATGGAAAATTTAATTAAGCAATGGCATGCTTGTATTTGCTCAAAGGAGTCTATTATGAAAGCGATAATAAAGAATTATTTAAATAAGTAAAATAAGATTGTCCATAATACTCTTCTTGAGTTAAGAATGTGAAAATTAAACAGTTTTAGAGAAACGAGCAGGTGCATAAAAAAAAAAAAAAATAAGAGAGCACATGTCAGTAATAATATTAGATATACTATATATGATGTCGCTGATATACTACTATGAGCAAAAATATTTTAATTTRTTTTAAATTTCGCGCGAAAAAACATTTGTGGCAACATTTTTTTCTAGGTTGGTAGACTATCAGGGACATCTGTGCCAAATCTCACATCACAATAATTGCGAGTGTTTAGTATAAGCTTGTTTTTCTGAAGTACATAACGTGCAACCGGCGATTTTCACGATGAGTGAAATTATTGAACAAGGAAGTTCTATTA